TTCAGAAAGTCTAGAGATTGTAATAATATTTTCAGAGGTTGGGAATCATGACTGAACTTCTTGGTCATTTTAAACTGAGCAAGTTTCTTCAAATTTGAAAACCGGTAATTAATTGGTACAAGAGCTAGTTATCTGGGAACTAAGTCATAATGACAGGGTTCTTGAGCCTTGTGATATTATATACATTTCCCCACTCAGTTGAATGTGTTTGTATAGTCTGTTTTGTTTCTGAAAAGGAGTCATTGCTGTTTGTCAAATTCTTAAAGGACTCTAAGAAAAGAGTCAGGATTTAAAACACATGATAATTTGTTAGTTTTTTGTTTTTTTTTTTTTTTTTGGTTCCAGTTGTGGGGCCTGAACTCTGGGCTTGGGTGCTGTCCCTCAGCTCTTCAGCTCAAGGCTAGCGCTCTACCACTTGATCCATAGCGCTACTTCTGGCTTTTTTCTTTTTTTGCTTATGTGGTGCTGAGGAATTGAACCCAGGACCTCAGGCATGCAAGGCAAGCGCTCTACCACTGAGCCACCTTCCCAGCCTAGTATTTTTAATCTTTCTAAGGACTAAATAAAGACAAGTCATCTCAATTGCTGAGTAAGTTATGCTTTCGTTTTCTTTATGTATGTGGGTATTCATTCCTACTTGGTTTGACTAATTAAATCTATCTAATTGATGAATAGATTGAAAATGCCTGCCTCCAAAAATTAATGTCATTCTTTTCTGTTCATCTATCTCTGTCTCTGCTACTCATTTAAAATTTATAAACTTCCCACATCCAGAAAAGGATTTAGAAATATACTCTTTTATAATCTTTAAGTAGTTGTACAAAGGAGTTATCGTTCAACAAATTAGTTTATGTATGCAATTCATCTTTTTGGTATTTAATAAATTTTATTTCTCTTTCACACATATATCTCTGACATTTTATTGACTGACAGATTTCATGTTCTACATGTTTCATTTAATTGTATACATTTTCTTTTTAATAAGCATTTGACTTTCTGGGGTCCTTTGGATAATGTCTTTTGACATCATTTTTTTTATCAGTGTCACCCCTTTCATTATTTTTCCCATCCCTCCCAACCTCTTAAGGCATATAAAATGTCTTCATTTTATGTGAACTTTCTCTTGTATGCATTCAATCTTGCCTTTCTCTGAAATACCTCAACAATATTTCATCATAGCAAGTTTGTGCATATGTTTGTATTTTTTTGTCAGTCATTGGGCTTGAACTCCAGGCCTGTGTGCTATCCCTGAGCTCTTTTACACAAGGCTAGCATCCTACCACTTGAACCACAGTGCAACATCTGGCTTTTTCTGAGTAATTTATTGGAGATAAGAGTCTCACCAACTTTCCTTCCCAGGCTAGCTTTGAACCGTGATTGTCAGATCTCAGCCTTCTGAGTAGTTAGGATTATATTTGTGAGCCACTGGCTCAAAGTATTAAATCTGTATTTGTGAGAGCTTTTTTTCAGTACTAGAGATAGAACTCAAGGCCTTGTACATGATAGGCAAGTGTTCTACTATTGAGTTATAGCCCCAGACCCTAAACCTTTTTTTCTGTAATGTCAGAAGAGCCAGGTACTGGTGGTTTAAACCTGGAATCCTACTACTCAGGAAGTAGATATTGGGAAAATTGTGTTTCAAGGCCTGCATGGGGAAAAGTTTGAGAAAGCCCATTTCAATCAATAGCTGGGTACTGAGATATGTACCTGTCATCCCACCTACATAGGAAACTGAGATCAGGAGGACAAAAAAGTTCACGAGACAACCGCCCCCCTCCCCCACCCCCATACCCCCAGCCATCTCAATAGAAAAAGATAAGTATGGTGGTACATACCGATCATCCTAGCTACAACAGGAAGCATAAATGGAATGATCTTAATTCAGACCAGCCTGGGCAAAAGCAAGACTCTTTCAGAAACAAACAAACAAACAAACAAAAAACAGATAGAAAAAGGCTGAAAATGTGGTTCAAGCAGTAGAACACTTGCTTGGGGAAGCATGAAGCCCCAAGTTCAAACTTTCAAACTGCAGAAACAAACAAAAAGAAACAAAAACCCCAAAACAAGAGCTATCTGTCCTTTTCAGCTTATAGGGAAACTATAAGCATAAAACAAAATGGTCCCATGGAACATTTTAAAGGCATGCTAGTACTTGATTAGCAATATTTTCCCACTATTGATTACAAGTCAATTCTATAGTTATTTATTAACTGTCCTACTATATGTCACAGCCTGAAATACTAAAGAAAGAAATAAAAGGAAAAGGAACAATGAAGACACACATAGGAAAAGGTGCTTTTAGTGGTGGAAGTGGCATATCATGCCTTGTATTTAGAAGAAGTAACTAGAAGTTAGCTCTTTTTTTCTTCTCTTGAATTCTTTCATGCCAGGGTATCTTCTGCTTTGAGTAGTGGAGTCTTATCAGATCACAAAGTGGCGGTAAATGGTTGGTTTATTCTAGTAATAAGTGATCCAGAGACAGGCTTCTTGAAAACTGATGAATTTGAGACATTTCAACAGTATCAGGACTCTGCGTCAAATTCTCTGTTACTTTCTTGGCTTTTCTTTCATTTGAAATATGGTTGCGACAACCTTGAACACAGGTAAAACAGCGTTCAAAGCAGAAAGGGGCAGCTGTTTTTTCCAAGTCTCTTTCTCTTTTAATTTTAGCTAGGAAACAAAATCTTATAGCCTCTATGCCAGCATATTTCCTCTCACAATTCTTTGGCTGGGACTAGATCATATGTCCATCTCCAAACCAATCACCAGCCAAGAAGAATAAGTTGATCATTATTTGCCTGGGCAGATTTTATTCTTCCCTAGGGCTGTGGGAAGGTTTTCTGTTCTTGAATGTAATGTCTTAACAAATTAGGATTCTGTGAACAAGAAAGAGGGTTGGGATTGGCTGCTAGAAATTTAATCAACAGAAGTTGATCACAGTTTATTAACTTTTTGTCTGTAAAGAAGAGAAACATCTGTTCCTTCATTTTTGGTTGGTCATAGGTTTCTGATATTCTTTGTAAAATGTGTCCGTGGTTTCCATTCAAACAATTATTCTTAAATTTCCTCAATAATACTCTATACATTTGTGTTGTTTTGAGCTTGGACGGTCATATTTCACTAGTACAGTCAATAGGGAAACTGTTAAGGAGCTATCATTGTCCAATTTAAAGATTGTTTAATATATTCCCTCTTTAGGTCACTTGACCAACTAGGAATTGAGGAAGTTTGCTATTACTAATTAAAGAGAGATTGAATGCTAGTAACTGAGTAGGTTTAGGGATTTGGGCTTGGTAGGATTTAGAACTAGTGCTCCTCAGTAAAGGTTAGTGAGCAGGAGCTATCAGAAGCTCAGAATACCTACCTAAGGTAGAAAGTTTCCAACATTGGCATAGGGGATGTAAATGATACTTTCAAGCCATTGTGCAGAAAACATCCACACAGAAGTAAAGTGATTTCCCTCTCACCCTACCTTTCCCTCTCAGTCTCCCAGTCACATTTCAATCCTAGACCACTGTGCCTGTATTATAGAATTTTGTTGTTTAGCTTTTGTTGGAGGGGAGGAGTTGAGAGAGGGTCTCTCTCAAAATTTAGGATTCTCCTGCCTTCACCTTCTGAGGACTGAGATTATAGGCATGCAGTGCTAGCTTGGCTTGTAGTGTGGATTTTTAAATTATCTTTATTTTGCATGTCACTCTCTTTGATTGATGAGATGTTTGGCAGCATAAAGATATGCATATCAGTGATATAAAGTATAGCAGGGACAGCATAATTGATACTTTTATATGTTGCTGTAGGTTATGATCTGTCTGCAGAAACTGGCCTAAGTGTTGGGAAATATCTCAGGATATTCAAAGCCATTAGATTTGTTGACTTTGATGAATAATAATAAATGCCAGCTTTAGTAGATAACAGTTCTCTGGAATTTTTCTTTCCACCTACACTGAGTCATGAAAGCCCAGTTTTCAAAATCTTCATTACTTTAATACCATACAGATGTTTTCACTGTCTTATCTGGGGCTTCTCGATAGAAATAATTTACTAGAAAACCTTTCAAAAGCATATAATTAAGGACATTTTTCTTGAGTTTGAGCAACCCTAGATTTTTCCTTCTTTGATGGCGTCTGTGTGCTTCCTTTACAATGAATATCCCTGTCACTGAATGATCAGTTTCCTACAACGAAGCCATGGAGACAAGTTCATCCCCCTACCACATCTAAAGAATGTCTTATTGGTATTTGTTGGTTTCTTTGTGGTTGACACATATGCACATATAAATACATAAACATTTGTCTCTTAAGATAGACCACAGTGAGGTCTTTTTTAGTGGTTTATGTACCATGTTGGCTTTGTAGTATGTAGAAAAACATTATTTCTATGTTTGTAATGTATGGAAGAAGGCAATGAGGAAAAAAGTAAGTTTTGTCTCTTTGCAGATATCTACTTATACATATACCTGAAAAGTTGATAAAATTGTACACACTTGTAGGGCACTGGTGGCTCACACCTGCAATCCTATCTACTGAGGAGGCTGAGATCTGAGGATAGCAGTTCAAAGCCAGCCTGGGCAGGAAAGTCCTTGAGACTCTTATCTCCAATTAACCAGTTGAAAACTGGAAGTAGCTCTGTGACTCAAAGTGGTAGAGTGCTAGCCTTGAACAAAAAGACTGCACACAGGCCCTGAATTCAAGCCCCACAACCGAAAAAAAATTTTGCTTTCCTGAAACCAAGGACAGTTTTCTTTTCTACCTGAGCAAAGCAAAGCAATCAATAGCATTTCATGATGCTACATGATTTGTAAGGGGGGAAAATGCAGAGAATATGAGCATCTATGAGCATCTTGAGGTAGTTTTCTGAGGGTGACCCTTTCTTTATGCAGTCACAATCCCCTACCTGTTAAGCCTGCCTTTCCCTAAGGTTAATGTGACAGGAATACTTTCTGCTGGGTCAGCTCATTAGATAAAGTGCCTTAAAGGTTGTGTTTTCTTTTCTTCTTGCAGCCAAGGATTACTGCAAAGTAATATTTCCATATGAGGCACAGAATGATGATGAATTGACAATCAAAGAAGGAGATATATTGACGCTCATCAATAAGGTAAACAAAGGTTCTCTCCTACCTTCTAAACTATCAAGTGCTCTAGAGTGTACACGAGATGGCATAAGCATTTTCTTTGGCCAGTTTTATTTTGAAAGACAGTCTTGCTATATAGTCCAGACTGGCTTTGAACTCACTTACATAACCCTGGCTGGCCTGGAACTCTTGGTCCACCTGCCTCCACTCCTTAAGTGATGGAATTATCTGGTTTGCTTTAGCCTTTGAAACACTTGGTTTTTGTCCTGGATTTGTGAAGAAGAATTTGCGTCTGATATTTTGGGGGGAAGCGGTACTTGGGTTTGAACTTAGGGTCTTGTGCTTGCAAGGTAGATCCTCTACCACTCAGCCATGCCTTCAGCCCTGATTTACACTGGTTGGTTTTTAAGATCTGGGCTCACTTCCTTCCCAAGCATGCACCCAGGCCATGATCCTCCTGTTTTTCACAACTAGGGTGATGGGCATGTGCTACCATACCCAGCTTCTTCTGTTGAGGTGGAGTCTCACAGACATTTCTGCCTAGGTTGTCTTGGAACTGTAATTCTCCCAATCCCAGCCTTCTACATACCTAGGATGACAGGTGTGAGCCACCAGAGCCAAGCTTACATTTTTCCTTTTGATCAGGTTAAGCCTATGTGAATGAAGGAACTTAAAGATCAAATCAATTTCTCTTTTCTTTTGGGTAAGCTGCAGATTTACATGGTCCTGAAGAAAAGTATGTCTCAGAAGGAATAACTTAGAAGGTAGCCTGCTTGGCTGAAGGTTCTAGCCTCTATAGCAGCCAGGCTACAAAAGCTCTGTGACATAAAGGAACCACAGGATTTTTTTTTAATGCTGGTCATGGCTTACAGGCAACAAACGTTTAAAAAATGTCTGCTGTTCAGATCATAGACAGGTAGAGCGCCTGAGAGAATTTTGCTTGTCTTGTTTGGAGTAAGAAGGTTGGATGATTTTATTATCATTGCAGCCAGAGCCCTGTAAACACCAGGGGAGCTATAAAATCTCTGTGAAAAGATGCAGTTTGCCGGGGTCTTGACCACATACCATTTCTGCTTTCATGCAATGCTATGTACCAAGTCAATAGTTGAAAGTCATATTATTCTAGTGGTTCCTAGAGCATTCAGCCTTTTCTCCGAGGTACATTTTTTTTTTTAAATAGTGGTCCAATTCAATGAGAAGCCAGGCAGTCTTTAATATGTAGAAGGTGATTATTCTTGTCTACAGGTGACTGGGAGGCAGCATGTTATTCCCCACATACAAGCTTGACTTGGAGATCACCTAGGTGACTCTAGTCACCTGAATCCTCTCCTTTCAGGGATGGAAATCATTGGTAGGTAGCTACAGGATACAGGAAAGAGCAGACAGAGCAGGGGATTAGCATGGGGGAATGCTCAGGCTCTTGCTTCCTGTGGCCATTACTTGAGGGTGTGGGGACCACAATGTTGCCTTCCTTCACCCCCAGGTTTGTTCATAAGATGATCAGTAGGATTCACATTTACGATTCTGAAAATGGCTTTGCCAGGTCCCAGTGGCCCGTATCTGTAATCCTAGCTACTCAGGAGGCTGAGATCTGAGCATTGAGGTTCGAAGCCAGCCTGGGCAGGAAAGTCTATGAGACTCTTACCTCCAGTTAACTACCAAAAAAAAAGTTGAAGTAGAGCTGTGGCTCAAGTGGTAGAGTGCTAGCCTTGAGCTAAAAGCTCAGGGAAAGTGTCTCGGGCGTGAATTCAAGCCTCAGAACAGAACAAAAAAGAAAGAAAATGGCTTGTAGATTGTGTATTTGAAGAGCCTAATGCAAAGATACCAGTGAATTGAGGACTGCAAAAGTGAAATTAGCTTGCCAAACCAGCAGGTGTTTTGTTAGGGAGAAAGTCCCATGGACTCTGAAAATGGTATTCAAAACACATTACTAGAGCTATCTAGACACCTTTCTGGAATAACAAATTATCCCATTTTGCAAATCACTCAAGAACTCGTCCATCTTTTTACCTGTGAAATGTTCTTCCCTTAAGTTATTTCTATATAGCTCTGTGGGTGTTGAAGGTGGGTGGAGAAAATGAGAGGAGGGGAAAGATGTTTCCCTTGCTGATTTCTGCAAGAAATGGCTCTTGCTTTTTTTTTTTTTTTTTTTTTAAACCATCCTCTCCTCCTGTGCCTAGCCTTCTTCAGGAGGCTTTCTTATGCACAGTGCAATTTCTATTTTTAATCAGACTTGTAACTAGACACATGATAAGGCAGTTGGTAAATAGGTATGAAGCATAATACAATATGTTAATAATTAGCAACAAAAATTGGTTTTAGTAATACAAAGAACGCATAAAGCCCTTTCCCCATCACAAAGATAAAGCCACCAGAAAATTCTGGTGCCATTCTCTGCCGTGGGGGAGGGGATTCACTGTCTTGTTTCTGTTTTGCTTTTGGAAGAGGAACAGCCTCTTTTTTAATTGAAAGCTCAGTGTCTCAATAATATTTAACAAGGCTTGAGAAAAGAAAAGCCACTGTGGTTTGTCTCTTACCTGAACACATCAATTTCCATCTTGACACATTATCCTCCAGCCCTTGCCATTTGAATACATATCACAATGAGAAACACAATCATCTTGATGATTGTGTTCCTAACCTCACAGCCTGAGATCCAGTCTGATAAACAGAATCTGTCTTTTTTTTTTCTGAAGGCTTTGTTTGGAAAAGGAACATCCAACAGTCCCAGCCATGCAGAAGGGAACCATGAACAGGCAGATGTATCAGACTACCTTTTACTGTCCCCTAAGGGTTGCATCCCATTTCTCTTGTTTCATGGGTTAAAGTACTTTGAAGCCGTTTGCTACTATATTTGTGAAATGTGACATTTTCATCTCTCCTCTACATGTAGACAAGGCATAGCTTGCATGCTAAGTCTGTTCCCTAGGGCGAAAGTGCACATATTAGCTTGACACTTGATGTCCCCTCTCTCACCCTGCCCCTTATCCCAAGCTGCCTCCCTGTATGTTCCTGCCCCTTCCTGTCCATTCAGGCTAAGCCCAGGCTTGTGAGCCAGCTGTGCAGATGCTGGGCCTCCTCCTTGGCACCTGCTCCAGAGGAGCATCCTGGGGTGGTGAAGAATGGCAGTATGTTTTCTCTAGCCTCACTCATTCCATATCCATTTCACCCCTAGTAACCCAAGCTCTTTTTTGTTATGCCAGTCCTGGAGCCTGAACTCATTTTTATTTTAACTCAAGATGAGGGCTCTACCACTTGAGCCACAGTTGTACTTCTGGCTTTTTGAGTGATTATCTGGAGGAAAGACCCAGGCTGGCTTTGAACTGCAATCCTCCCATCTCAGCCTCCTGAGTAGCTAGAATTACAGGCATAAGCCACCAGCACCTGACTCCAGCCTCTCCTTTTTGTCATCCCATAACCACGTGACCCCTGTGCAGCAACCAAAGTCTTCAGTAGCTTGTCTTTCCTCTTGATAAAATCAAGATGTGAGGATGCTGACACTCCTTCTCCTAGGCATTCTGGCCACATGCTGTTTTTCTGGCCATGGTCCATGTGATATTCTGATGTCCCCCATCATGTTCATGTATTCTCATGGTCCAGACCCCAAGCATGCATTTCTGCTGCCTGAAATGCCCTCTGTCTATCCTCTTAGCTGCTTTGTTCATAGCTAATAGCAGAGCCAGTCTTGAATCCATTATGATTATGTTGCTTAACAAAAATTCCCTGTGCCCTGTCAGTTTGTTTTTACTATTTTATCATCATCATCATCATCATTTGTATTATTTTCTATGATCTGCTGGAAACCAGGTCTTTTATTGTCCTTTACTGGTACAGATTTTATTTTTATTGCCATACATTTCCTGCCAACTTTGACCTAGCCCTCCAGTTTGTTAGAAGCAGTTCATGAACATACTACCATCTCAAAGAAACTAAGATTTGAGTCCTATCTTTGCATTTGCTGGCAGTATGTCTTTGGGTGCATGATTTAACCTCTCTGAGCCTCAGTTTTCTTAGCTGTAAAGCAAGGGCCATAAACCTGATGTTATAGGGCTGCTGTTAGGATTTACTAAGACACAGTGTATAAAATACTCCTTGTCGGAAGGGGTCTGTCTGTGGTACCCATAAATCCAAAAATTGTCTCTTCCACTTTGACTGCTCTTTCTCAGACTTTAGAAATGGGAATGAAGGATTCTTATGTTTAGGTCCAGTTTGTTGCTGGGGCTGGAATACTGTCACATGAACAGGTAAAAGTGATTTAAAAAAAACTCACCTAAAGTCCTAAAATAGTTAAAAGTGGGTAAGATTTGAGCACGCATTTGGAAAGAAAACATGCCATAAATATTTTGTCCGTTGATAGTGGGAAAATGGAGTGTGAGCTATAAAAACCTGCTGCCATTATTGTTGTAATGCTTACCTCTTCTTTAAAGTTAAGCCTCTACACATTCATTTAGGTGATTGTATTCCATTATAAATACAATAGTAACATGGCCTGCCATGATTTATTTAATGTGCATTTTGATATATATATATATATATATATATATATATTTGTTGCATGTATCAGTTGAGGTAAAATCTTTAAACATGCTGTTCTCTAAATTCAGTTGCATTTGCTATGACATGCTCTGTCGGCCTCAAGTTCTGCTACCATTTCCTTTCATAGTCAGTTAAGGTGGTTTCCTCTGCCCTGCTTTTCTGTGCGGTGGCAGGAGTCACAGAGCAGGTGTTGCCCTCATTTTCAGTCCAAGATTATCATTGCATGTGGCTTTCTAGACAATAAGTCAAGACACTTTTAGTGGGTATCTATAAGCCCTTTGCGGTTCCTGAAATAATCTGCAAAGACCTGAAAGAACTATTTGTATATGTCCCTAGAAACTAGGATGAGATGTGGCAACCCAAATGGGTATTTTTTTTAGTTTATTTATAAAAAAAAATTCTTGTGGATGCGGGAACATTTCCACTTGTGCAGAACACACCTGTGTTTAGCTTTTATTTCCAGTCACTCAAAAATAGCTCCTGCGTCT